GCCAGTCAGCCTACCTTCATTTTTTCCATCTCCTTATCTAGGGAATAACCTTCAGTGCAACGGCCATCCAACCCAGTATCCTGTCTGCTGACAGTGGCCAATTTGTATCTTTTAAATGCCAATAAACAAGAACACTCGCTAGTGTGAATTACATCATAAAAGGGGGAACACAGATAACTTATAATCAAAATAAAGGATATAAAATAGTTTGCCACAGTTGAACTAGTATAATTCAGATTGTTCTCTTTATAAAGTTTCCGTAACGTAGATGTGCAATAGTAAATATTAAGTGTGTTTCCTATAACTTCAACATTTTACTTTGACATCTAGTTTTTTAATCTATAGAACCTCTAGCAGCCTCTGTATGGTTTGGTGTATCATTTTTTGCACAAGTCTTAACCTGTTGCTTTTTCATTAATGAATGAAGCAGGTACTATGTTACCAAGTAATTACTGAACTCTAATACTACATGAAAACCACATTGGGTCAGTCTGCTGATACAGCTAGTCCAGTATCTTGCCTTTTGATAGGGTATGTCTACACAGCAGAGCTGAAATAAGCTATACAACTTGAGCTATGTCAATTGTGTAGCTTAAGTCGAAATAGCTTATTTGGGCTTTTGGCGCTGTCTACATAGCAGTAATTCCAAGTTAGAACACTCTTCCTCCAACTTTCCTTAATCCTTGTAAAATGAGGGTTACAGGAGTTGGAGTAAGAAGTTATATCAAAATAACTGCTTGCTGCGTAGATCTGGACTATGTTATTTCGAAATAACGTTGCTGTGTAGACACAACCACAGTGACAATGGTGAGAACAAGCAATCATCTCCTGTCATCCACTCATCTCTTCTGGCAGTCAGAGGCTAAGGACACTTAAAGCGTGGAGTTACATACCTGACCATCTTGGCTAATATTGACTGACCTGTTCTCCATGAACTTGTCTAACTCCTTTATTAAACCCCATTATTAATTTGGTCTTCACAGTATTCTCTGGCAAGGAGCTCTGGCATAGGTTGACTATGTTGTGTGAAAAAATACTTTTATTTAAAGCTGCTGCCTATTAATTTCATTTGGTGATTCTGAATGTGCTTGTCAAGTTTAAAACTAACAAACTGGTACTGAGCTGATGAGAGACTGACAATAAATCCCTTTAAGTTTAGGAAAGATACCGAGAAGTGCAAACCTATTGCAATAGAAAGAGTTTGACTATTGTATGCCCAAGGGAGGCACTTTTTATAGATTGTTCAATTTGGGTATCTTTAAAATATTAACTAGTGGTTTCCTCTTTTCTCTTGTTCATAGCTAAAGTGTCAAAATGCAAAGGAAAGCATCAACATGTCTGTAGTTCACACTGGGGGTGGATCTGTCCGTAAAGCAAAGAAAATTACGGTAAAAACATCTTTAAATAATCCATATGATATCAGGTGGAATACTCTAGAAGGAGATGATATGTACTTTATACTCCAGACGTTGGTAGAAAGGATTAAGCACATTGGATTTAAAAAGATTGAGACTCCAAGAAGGAAAAAGCGTTCTATTGCAAAAAGGAAAATTAAAGAAAAATGTGATGCTAGTTGTAGTGAACTTCCGAAGGAGAAGGAAACGGACCATATTCAACAAGAACAAGGATGGACTGACTTAAACATCAGGAAACAGCTTGCTATTGGAATCAATGAGGTTACTAGATCTTTGGAAAAAAATGAACTACTTCTGATGCTGGTGTGTAAATCTGCAAAACCTACTCTGATCACCATGCACCTTATTCAGCTCAGTGCAAGTCGAGCAGTCCCAGCTGGCCAGGTTCCACGTCTTAGTGAAAGCATAGCACCTATTCTTGGCTTAACATCTGTTCTAGCACTAGGTTTTAAAAAGAATTCTGTCACTTTTTCTGAAGAAGTAGAAGCTATAATTCCACGGATACCTAGCTTGGATGTGCCCTGGATTCACCATAGAAGTGAGCAGCTTATGGCAGAGGCATATACTGATCCTTTGGAAATTGAAGATGCAAATCTTATGGAGACATCAGTGCAGGAGTTCTCCCAAAGCCATAAGTATAAGCATACTGAAAGCAGTAAGTTGGATTCTTCAAATGTAACTTTACAAGCTCTCAGAATTAAAAAGCTGGTTCCAAATCCAAACAAGATACGGAAACCCCCCAAAAATAAAAAAGCTGCTTCAAAATAACTTACTTCAGTACTGGTCTTTACAGTGGGAGTAAAGTAACTTGTATGCAGTATTGGAAACTGCCCCATGTAACTAAGTTATAATACTTTTAAATGTCATGACTTCAGATGTAAAGCCATTTGACCAATAGAAGATGAACTCTACTAATATGTTACATTCTCTTATGAAATTTTTGTTCTGACATTAAAGCATACAACCTTTAAAATTGTGCATAAGTGTTAATTGCTTTCTTAAGACATACTTAGTGTTTAGAAAGCCTCGGTTTAAACGGGTGTGTGGTGTAGTTCTAGAAAGGGTGGGGGCCACTGATCCACAGAAAAACCAGTCGGGGCCCACACAAAAGTGAGAAACAAAAGCAAGCAGTCAACAAACCTCACTGACATAGCCCCCGACTGAGAAGCAGAAAAATACTCCCATACATTCCCCTCAACACCAAACCTTATGTGGGCCTGGGCTAGTAGATTTTGCGGGGGGGGGGGAAGCCTCCAGGCAGGACCGAAGGGGGAGTGGCAGTGCACGGAGTAGCTTCCTCCCACTGCCAGGCAGAGCCCATGTATTGGATCTGACTCTGGCCAACAAGGCTTGGGACTCCTCCTCCTACAGCGGGGAGCTAGTGCTCCAGCCCTGTGGGGGGAACATGGGGCTGGAGCACCAGTGCCAGCTCCTCAATTCTGGGGTGGGAGTGCGAAGGAGGAGCCTGAGCCTTGGGGGTTGGATCCAGGCAACTCCTGTTCTAGAATGTGCATTTGCTGTTAAGGAAAAGCATCAAGCAAATTCTTTTGCGGGAATGTATATACTTAGAATAAAACTCTAAAATTAAATGTAACTGTTCAAACAAATGAATATCAAAATTGAAAGTTTATTCAAACAAGTGTCCATGCTGGTATAAACTTTTTTTTTTTTTTTTTTTAAATCTGGTCATCTATAAGATGCTTCAAGCAAACATCTGTAACTGGTAGTACGTGCTCAGGCTTTGTTTTTGGATGTTAGTACTTAGCTCTGCTAGGTTGTTTTTGGTGATAAGATGCATATTAAACTGGTTTCCAGATATATTTGGTCTCTGATATGCTAAGGAAAACAACAATCTTGATCAACATATGAATTATTAAATACTTCTGTTGCAGGAAAATGCATTTTAAAAAGACTGCTGTACACAAACTGGATCTACATAATACAAAGTTAAGTGCCAATTATTCCATAAATGGAGAATTGAGAAACAATTTCCAATAACTTCAGATATATTTTCTGTACTGTAGTATGTTAAATAGTAGGTACTAATTGTAATCATCCCAAGCAGCTGAAAATGGTATGACACTTAACTCTTGAAAGGAAATGCACTTTAAGAAACTGCCAAAGTAAGAAGTAGAATTTAATATGACAGCATGCACTATTTATTTTACAGGAAACTGTCTTATGGAATTTTAGAAGAGAACAGAGAAGCAACTCAGACTGCAATAAAAAAGTGCATAACTAATCTCAACAAAATAGTTTACTTAGCTCTCACATTTTACTCAAAAGCCTCTTCTGTCCTGCAGGAAGAAAACTAGTAAAAACATGAGTGAGCCTGTTTTGTTTTTAAATAAGGGAGGAATTTCCATGTTCCAGATCAATGATTACCTAGGCTGCCTGTGTTTTGGATTCCCCCTCATCATACACAAGTTAAAAAGGGTAAACAGTAGAGATTGCATACTAATGAGGATATCTGAAGGTTAAACTGCAGCAGAGGCAAAATGCCCCCTGGCTCTGCCTGGGGGGAAAAAATGTAGATACCCCAAGCGTAAGGCTAAAAATTAGTACTGTATGTCACTTGGGAAACTCTAAATTAACTAAAAAGGTAAAAACACAAATTATCACCCATCCCTGAATAGCAGTTCTTATTCAGGAATAAAATAGCCTTAAATGGCTTGTAGTTTAAGACAGTTTTCCAAACAGTGAATTATGGGAAGGTTCTAGATGAGTTGCCATGTCTGAGGCCTGAATAAGCCAGTGCTAAACCCAGACTTAAGCAAACATTTCCCATCCCAGTGGAAATGGAGGTCCAATAGGGTAGAGGATATTGGAAAGAAAGCTTGCACAGCTCCCACCCAATAACAGCTACACTTGTCCTGTGGGACTTAGTCCAGTTCCCCAGGCTGGGTGTTGCAGCTTGTTTCTTTGGATCACACTGTCACTTGTTTGGTCAAACAGAAATTTGTTTGGCTGTTGAAGTGAATTGCAATGCACGTTACTCAAATTTGGCCTGTGTAACCAAACTTGAGAGGGAGGGAAATCTGAGTGGTGCTGCACCTTCATACACCTGCTTGCACAGCCCAGGGAGCTAGGCCCAACCCTCCCTCTGGACAGGAGCTGCCACTAATGGAGTGTGCTGAGCTCTCCAAACCCTCCTCTATACCTCTTCTGGACCAAGAGGGTACTGAGTGTTGGGGATGAGGATTCATATAGAAAATGGTAGCATGGGAGGGGGAGAGAGAGAGCCAGCATGCAGTTTGTGAATCACAGTAAGTTCAAGAATGACTGGTTTCATCCTCAATCTTTGGCAGCAAATTAAACTCTTTTATAAGCATCCTTATGAGTGGTTAATGGGCCTTAACAGATGCACATCAAGGTTATGCTAAGTTGATTTGTTATAACTTTCCTAGGTGTGCCTGTGTGTACACAGCTTTGTGTCCAGGCCAGCAATAGACCCTCATTGACTTTAAGGTACAAATCATTTGGCTTTAATTACATAAGTGCCAATTAACTCCTAATAGTTAATTGGAAGCTATGGGGTTTTGGAATGTACTATCTTGGAAAGTCTAATGGACAAGGGCAGTACAGATTGTACTTCCCTTAACCAGGACAGTCTGGTCTGGCAACATCCAGGGTCCAGCAGGACCACAGATGTTCCTGGACCAAAGAGCCCAGGTATAGGGAGGACTGGCCATGGGGCAGGAGCATGGCAGGGAGGGGCCAATGATTCAGCTGGGAGCCCTGTGTTGGGGAGGTGGGCAGGGGCACAGCAGGGAGTTCTGGGCAGTAGTGGGGGGGCTGGTAATGGCCATGGAGCTCTGGCAGCAGCCAAGGAGCTCCAGCCCAGGGAACCACGGCCAGCCAAGCAGCAGCAGGACTAGAGAGAGGACCGTCCCTGATTTGACAAATACCCTCAGCTGGGACAAATCAGGTCCTGAGGGTGTTGAACCAGTCCATATATGCTTTAACTTGAATACATATTGAAGCACAGATTGCACCTTGCCTGATAGTCTACCTATGTATTAATATGGGTTAAGACACATTTACCTAATAATATGCCTTTAAATCAGAAGTGGGCAATAATTTTCATGGAGGGGGGGCGCACTTCACAAATTTTGGTACATGGTCATGGCCAGCACCCCGGCAGAAGGAGTCGGTCGGGAGGCTAGAGAGAGAGACAGAGTGTGAGTGTGAAAGAGACAGACTTTGTGACATAGAGTGAATGGGCACAGCAGTGTGTATGTGATTGTGCGTGTGTGTGTGCCACAGACTGGAGGTGTGTGATGGCTGCTGCTAGGCAAGGTTCTGAGCGAAGCCATGCTCTGTCTCTAAGGGAAATCTGTCCTTCTGTGTTGTCTTCCCCTCCCCTGCTCTGCACCCCAAGTCACTTAAGCATCTATGGTTCAGACTGGAGCATAACTGTGTGTCTCCCTCTGCAGAGAGGGGATGAAGAGATAGGGGAATACTCTAACTTAAGCACTTCCATCTCCTCTCCTTCCTCCCACTCTGCACAGCTTGCAGGAGAAAACTGGGAGCAGTTCGGCTGCAGGATGGAGCAAGATGGGGGAAGGGGCAGCTGAACACAAGCTGCTGGCTGTAAGTATGCTCACTCTGCTAATCAGCTGGGCTGGCCCCCTGGGCCTGATTTTACCCACCCCTGCTTTAAATCCTAGTCTAGATAGAGTCCAAGAGCTTGTCCCCTGTACATATGGGATATTGCCCCTTCCGTTATTAAAGAATGACTTTTGAGAGATAAGCTGCTATACAAGATGCATTAAGTCCAGTGCTCAAGACAAAAAGCTAAATGTAAACCTACATTGCTAATTTCAGACAGCAATCCTAATGCTAAGCAAAAATTGCACTCACATTTAGAATGACGGGCGTTAAAGCCAAGTTTATCCATAAATATATTACCAGATATTCAAGTAATGTCCAAAATACCTGTACAGCATATAACCTCCACCACTATTTGGCACTTTCAGCTAGAATTGTAACTTTTGCTGCTCATATGACTGTAGGATAGCAATTTTTAAGAGTTTAGGTATCACAGTTTAAACTAGGAGTTTGATGACATGGAATGTATAACAAATGCTTCTGGTTGAAGAAGCATTCATGAGGAAATAAAAATCAGGTGGCTGCATTTAAGTTAAGGCCAGTACAGAGTCTTTCCAGGGATAGGAAGAAGCCCATGTGTCTTGGTTACTGGCACTACACACAGTGAAATCTTTAGTTCAAAATTCAGGATAAAAACACTACCAGTAACAACTTATGAATACTTATTTACACAAGATACTTCATTAGAATTACAGATTTCAAAGTAGACAAAGGAATGTGCAATTTTGCAGAAGCATTGAAAACATTCAAAACTATAAATATTTTGATAGCACTACCAAAATTCTTAGTTTTACACACAGGCTGATGTTGATCTACTGAGGAAAAACTAAGGTTTTGTGCCACAACTATAAATTAAGTACAGTAATTTATAATCATTCTGGCAACATAGATAATATCTGCACTGAACAGTGCAATACTACTGAATCAATCCACTGATCTATTGAAGATCAAAGTACAAATCTGTATTTTTATTGATTTGGCAGCGTTGCTTACGGAGAAACAAATGTACTAGTCAAACCAGCACATTTTCATACTGCTCCAGTTACAAAAACATCCAAGACTTTCATATTAGTTACAAATGTATCATACTCCATTATTTTACCCCAAATGATGACATCCATATGAATTTAATAAGCAAAGATACTCAGTTTGGATCCTTCATTCTGTTACACTGACAAACACACACCACTTAATAAATAGAAATGCAGCAGTTCATTCACATAATAGCAAAGATTTTCATACCCTAATCCACCACTGCAGTTCAGTTTGTACAAAACAGTCTTTTCTACAGAGTGGAAAAAAAATACCCTCTTTTTATCAAGGTGCGAGCTAAGCTTTGTAAATTTAATGAATGTGCTTTTATTCTTTTTATGGGCAATAAGAGTTTCATGAACTTTCCATTCTATTTCAAAATGTGTAAAATAGGTCAGATATGGTTTTCTTCATTATTTTAGATTTGATGAATTATTTCAATTTTACTGATGTTGTGCTTTTACTCCTCTTGAACAATACTGTTCCAAGAACTGTTATGTAGATTAAATCAATCCAAATGACAACTTCAGAGTTCTAGAAACACGAGAGTTCTTCTTATTGTAATACAAGGCCAACCTAAAAGGAGGAGTAAAATGCAGTAGTTAAAACAAGTATGACAAATATTGGCTTTTTGTTCTTAAATATCTTAGATTTTCAATGTATACATTTTTATTCAAAATTTTTGTCTGTTTTTACATTCCTAAATAGATCTATTTTTTATGGCTAACTGTGTACAGAAGCACTTTTTCCTCTTACCTTTTCAGATTCCATGCCAGGACATCGCCAGTTGTATAAATAATACTGCAAGTTGCCATCTCCTATCCCAAACTTGAGCTTTTCCAGGAATGTTTTGTTTTCCATCAAGTCTAGTGCATTGAACACATCAAATCCCTTCTGGAAATATATAAACATTTTTGAAATTTAATTTTAATTTTAAAATGATCCTTTATATATGCACAAAATATATGCACAAAATGAATATAAATTTTTCCAGGTTTCTAAGAACCATTTTTACTAAATAGACATTAGATTTGATCCTACATTTTAATATGCGCCCAGAATAGCAGATTTCCCAATAGAAATGAATGCTGTCTGCATGTCACACAGAGGAGTTTAGATTATACCTGTAAAACAGTGGTTATTAACCTATTTACCACTGTCAGCCATATATAGCTCGCAATGTGGGCCCCATCCACTCAATATACTTATTCCGCCTCCCCACCCTCCCCCCCAAAAAAGTACCTGTTGTCTCTCAGCAATACAAGTCGAATCAATGCATCCCAACACTGGCAAATATTGACCAAGAGTATTTTAAATTAACAAAATAAGTCAAAATGTTAACTGTTAAAATTAATTTATTTACTGTGAGGGTGGCAAAGCAGTGTGGCTGGGCACCTGGCTGCAAAATCTGCCTACAAAGATGGGGAGCCTGCTAAATGCATGGTTTGCACCTCAGTCAGAGACTGTCCCCCATGTACCCAATCTCCCCCTGCCCCCAGAAATGCCCTCCATCACCCTACAGAGACAATGTGCCCAGGCCAGGGCAGAACAGACCCAGGGACTGCCCCCTATGCACCCAGCCCCCACACAGGGTCTGACCCTCCCAGCCCCTTCATCCAGGGATTGTGGCTATCTAGCCTCCTATTCAGGGACTGCCCCCCAGTGATACCTACTGTTTGTTCTCCAGGCACTGGTTGCACCCCTCCCCCCTCACATCACAGCTCCCTCACACACGCCTGGCGCCCTAGCCCCTGAACTCCCCAGCCCACACTCACTGGTCTCTTACCTTGGCTATAAGCAACTTAGCCATACAACTCATCCTGTTTGCCTGCCACTGCAGTCCTAGTGCCAGGGAACCTGTTACGTCTAGGGTCACAAAACCCTTACTGCTGCTTACAAGACCCATACTGCTGAGCTACAGTTCATCTTCAAGTTTGACACAATCAGCTCTGGATTAAACAAAGACTGTGAATGGCTTGCTAACTACAAAAGCAGCTTCTCCTCTCTTGGTATTCACACCTCCAGATCAGCTACCAGAAGTGGGCCTCATCCTCCCTGACTGGATCCACCTCGTCATCTCTAGCCTGATTCTGGCCTGCATATTTATACCTGCCTCTGGAAATTTCCACTACATGCATCTGATAAAGTGGGTCTTTTCCCATGAAAGCTTATGCTCCAACATGTCGGTTAGTCTATAAGGTGTCACAGGACTCCTCGCCGCTTTTGCAGATTCAGACTAACATAGCTACCCCGCTGATATTTAAGACCCATGGGATGAAGGAGGAGGGCAAAGATCACCCTGGTCTCCTGCTAATGCTGCTAAGCCCAATCCCATGCTGCTCCATTTTTGTACCCCACTGCTGGCTCTGTGCCTGAGACAGGGTTCTCCTTTTACCCCACCATAGTTATGTCCATAAGAATATCACAACATGGCTGCAGTGATTGGGCTGCAAATGGCTCGCAAGATGAGAACCTCTGCTCTAGGAAGCAGGACACTTGTCAGATAACATTCAAGGATAACACATCAAAATAAATGTAATAGTTTTATGTTTGTTTCTTTGCATACTAGTCCTCAAGAGTAATGTAGACTAAACTAAAATCAAACCGCATTTGAGCAGGCACAGGATAGTTGACGTTACACATACATCTCAATCCTAACCTGTTTTCAGTCATGTATAAATGTGCAGGGTTTTTCAAGTTTGGTCCCTTCCTAAAAGTGATGTAATAAATTTGATCTTCCTCTGTCTTGATTGCATGTCTTTCCCACTTACTTGTCCTCTTCCCTCCCTTCCCCCAAATCCATTACCATCACATTACTCTTAATCATCAAAATGCCACAGAAATGGAGCAATCCTGAGTTTTTACTGTAAACCTGGCAATTACACACTATTACTTACCTCTGATTCCCTTCCACTTTTTGTTAAACTCATTATCTGTGTTACTGTAGTGCCTAGGAGCCTTAGTCTTTAATTAGGCTCTGATATTGCAATTTGTCAAACACTTGGTGTATTTTTGTCATGTTCCACTAAATTCATGTTCTCCTATGTGCAAGTGCAGCATATCACTTCTGAATAATCAACTGCAAGATTGTGGTTTAGACTGTAAATTTGTGGGGCCTGTACAAATCTCCATATATAGGGCCCCACTTAAAGCTTTTAGGCAAAACTATAACTACACATTATCAATAAAGCAACAATAATATCCAGCTGTTTGAACAAGAGAAGACTGAACCCCCACCCACTTTCCTCGTTTAAAAAATGCGATTAAAAACTAGGATGTTAGCAACTAGTAGGCTAACAGTTTAACCGATAAGCGATTGCCCACTAGTCCAAGTTTTAAATGAAGAGCATAGAGGGTATCCGCCTGCCCACCCTGTGCTGCTACCTTAGATACAGAAGTAGCAGTGCAAGTCAGCAGCAGCCCCAGTCTGCAGGGGGCCTGAGTTCCTTGTGGACAGAGGCTGCTCCAGTATACCAGAGATTTTTAAACTGGCTCCCTGAATAGACCAGCTCCGGAGTGCCACCCTACACTGCTGCCTCCGATACAGAGGCAGCAGCACAGGGGCAAGGGGCTTCCTGGGAGCAGGGCCAGGAGTTGAGAGCACGCTGGCCCCTCCCCCAGGGAAGCAGCATTTTTGTAACCATATAATTGCTAGCTGAGGTTACACTGTAGTCACGTAGCTAAAATGTAGCTATTTATGCTAAGTGCTATTAGCTATTTATGCTAATGTGCCTCAGTATACCCTGCCAGCCACCCTTTCTAAAAGCAGAAAGGTCCCTTACCTTACCATTGGTAACGGTGAACCAGTGAGAATATTGTGTCTAAAGCTAATTTCAAAGCAAAAATACATGTATAGTTTTTTTAATTGTAATTAAATGTCCTTGTTCAAATATGCATATTGCAACTCTGTAACAAAGGCTGCTTCTCTATAACAAAGAAATCAACCTTGCTATATGTAAAAAAGTAAGACATGTATAACAAAAATTAGAAAGGCCACCAGACCAGATGGTCTAAAAAAAGCCAAGAACAGATGTAAAAATGCCAAAAATTGTGTAACCCCATCAAAATGTAAACTGTAGGCAAATGTCTCTTAAAAAAGACAAGCATTTATCAATAAAAACAAAATATTTATAATCAAAACCAGCTTAGCATAGCAAGAAAAACAAGAAAGTCAATCCTCCCCTAAAATAACAAACATCCATGAAAAAAACCCAGCATAATAATACAAATTTTACTAATCCCAATACAAATAATCCTACTATAAAGAGGAACTGCTTTGCCGTGAAACTTTGGGGACATCCTGCCAAGACTGGAGCATTGGTCCAGGCTGATAGACCCCCGCTTCTCTGACCATAAGCGATCTGCTAGGCCATGGGCCATAAACTAGTAAATATAACATCAATTGGTGGATGACAAGTCAAGTGTTTTCTGCAGAAATTTCATCAGAATTAAGTTAAAAAAACATTAAAGCTGAACAATTATTTCTGCAAACCTCAATAAATTGTCCAAGCTTATCAGTAAATAACTATTTTAATTATCCTGTTCATTCTTCTAACAAAAGCGACGAGGAGTCCGGTGGCACCTTATAGACTAACTGAAGTGTAGGAGCATAAGCTTTCGTGGGCAAAGACCCACTTCGTCAGATGCATGTGACAAAGTGGGTCTTTGCCCACGAAAGCTTATGCTCCTACACTTCAGTTAGTCTATAAGGTGCCACAGGACTCCTCGTCGCTTTTGCAGATTCAGACTAACACGGCTACCCCTCTGATATTCTTCTAACAGTGAACATCCAGTTCTTACTGTTAATTTGGACACTGAGGGCCAGATTTTCACCTTATGCTCCAGATGTCTATACAGTTCTAGCCACACAAAGCAGACTCAAACTGTGGGTTTTAGTTTCCACATTACCAGAAGGTAATAAACCACTCGCTTTGAACTTATTGTTAACAGAACATTGTTCAAAATATATTATTTTGTAAAAGTGCGGCCAGTCTCTTCCATAAGTAAGGGGTTATGGAAATTTTCCCTTTTTCTTGTGCAAAGAGGACAGAAAACCTAGTACAGGTTGGACCTCCCTGGTCTGGCACTTTTCAGGACCCGACTGGCCCCAGATGAGGAACTTTACTGGAGCAGGGAAGGTCATTTGTGAGACTCCCTTCTTTCCCCTGCCAGAGCCTAGCCGCCAGCCTTCTAGCTAACCTCCCCCTGCCACCAGCCCCTCAGCACAGGACTGAGGCACCCCCATCACCACAATCACAGCCCTGCTGCTGGGCTCCCAACCCAGTGAGGCAGTCCCTCTGCTGGAGTGCAGGTGTGCCGCAGGCAGCAGTCCCGCTTGAGCTTCAGCCTTGCTGCCTCCCAGCCTCAATGGGCAGCTCCACTGGGCGGCAGCAAGGCTCGACAGCCCCACTCTCAGGTTCCTGGCCCCGCAGTTGGGCTCCTAGCCCCACAGGGCAGCCCTGCTGCCTCCCACTCCTGTTGCACAGCTGAACCCCTGGGCAGCAATGTGGATGCCAGACTCCTAGTTGTGCTGCAAGGCAGTGCCACTGCTGGGTTCCCAGCTCCACTGCCTGGCAACTCTGCTGCCTTCCAGTCTTGCTGGGCAGTTTCGCTGCCAGGCGGCAGTCTCTGCCACTGGGCTCCAACCTGCTGGGCAGGCCCGCTGCCTCCCAGCCCCCCATCACTCTCGCCCCACACTGTTGCCACTGGGCAACAACCCTGTTGCAGGGCTCCTGGTTTCTCTTCCAGAGGGCAGCCCTGCTACTGGTTTCCAGCCCCAATGCAGGGCTCCCAGCCACCAGCCCTCCATGGTCCTGGTTAAGAGAGGTTCAAACTTGTGGTCCTGGTTAAGAGAGGTTCAAACTTGTGTATTTTTAAAGTTCTGAAAGTACATTAAAAATCTTTAAATACAAGAAATTACATTACACATTAAATACTTCCTTTCATGTTTTAAAAATTACCCCTCTTTTCTGAGAAAAGTAGACAAGGAAAGTAAGTTACTTACCAATTTAGCTATAATAAGTGCATCATTCATTAAATCCAAGAGAGGAGTTTCTGTATGAATATTGTAGAAGGAATAGGCAGCTTTGAGGCTTTTATGAACTGGATGATGCATAACTGTTGAAGGTAATGTGTAGAAACTGAGGAAATCAGTTAAAATACCATTTGAGCTCTGGGAAGAAAAAAAGTAATCTAATGAAGAATCAACTTGTAATTAACTGATTACATTTCTAGCCATTCTTTTGAAAATTACAAATACAGTAAATCTCCATTAGTCCGGCATCCAATGCTCCGGCACTCCTGATGGTCCAGCACCATCAGGAACCCGGAAGTGCTTGGGGCAGCCAGACAATTGGAGCTGCTCTGCACCCAGCTTCCTTCATTCAGTCGCTGCTGAAACTGACCAGCAGCTGAATTAGGGAAGCCGGGGGCAGAGCAGCTGGGGTGCTGATGGGTTGGTCCCGTAGCGCTGCCTCTCGGGGCTGCGGGACCCAACCCGGCAGCACCCCAGCTGTTCCCGATTCAGCCGCTGCCGAAACTGATCAGCGGCTGACTATAGGAAGCCCTAGGCAGAGTTGCTCTGCCCCCGGCTTCCTGGAATCAGCCGCTGATCAGTTTCAACAGCGGCT